GCTGGCAAATTCATCTTTAAATGGAAGCTTGAAGGGAAGATGTGCGTACAGACTAGTAGAAAACCACAGCTAGAAAATGTCATAAAAATCCTCTGCTTAAAAAAAAAAAAATTACCAATTATAAAGATTGTCTTTTGTCTCATTAAAACAGAATACACTTGTTCTAAACCTCAGAAACCTATAGTGCTGAAGACTTTAGTAGGTTGTAGGTAACATGAACCCCTTGTTCATATGGCAATAGAGAAAACACTAAACAGATAGTCATTGTCTTAGTCGAAGTTTCACCTCACTGCAGTCGGAATTCCCCAGACTTGCTCTGTGCCCGAGAAATTCACATGAAATCTCGCTCACTGCCACATTAAAACTGGTGAACAAACAATTAGCCCCGGCACAGTTCAGAAATATGCGCACGCAGTAAATGCATATGGCAGTTGCTAGAGGCACCAAAGCCAACAGTCGCCACCAGAAATACAGATTGTCGTTAATGGAAGTAGTCGGGCACAATAAGCTGGCTATACACACGTCGATTTATTACATTAACAGATATCACCACAGAACTACAAGGCGGGACTGAACATTACACCGATCAACCCAATCAGCATGTCCTTTACAGAACATCGTTTCTTCACGGCACGCTTGAAAGTCTCTGTTTCCCTAGCACTATGTGCTTTATAGCAATTATCTTTTCATTTTTATTTTATTTCCTTACCTTCCTTGCTGTCATGAAATACTCCAGTTTTCTGTTTTTATGACGTGCCCAAAGAATGGGAACTGGCTTTTCCCGATCCCGACTATCAGTTGTCTTGAGTTAATTTCTTTCATGACATCTTCATTGTGCTTGTCCACTCACCAAGAGGGTTCTCATATTTCCTATATAAAATCACGTCCGCGTGGCTTCAACATAAATTCGGTGTAGCGCATACAAGAACTAATGAGTTAATTTTTTGAAGCTGTTTAAAATAAACGAGCTTTGTGACAAGCAGTGTTTGCCAAAGTTTAATTTGTGGCTTGTTATCCTAAAAAAAAAATGGTTTTAGGTTCCTCATAAATCCATTCTAACGTAATTAATTTGTGATTTTTTCTCTCTTACTTCCATATCCACGTAACTGATGATATAAAATATTCTACAGCGGTTAGTTATCACACATGCACAAATGTGCGCGAGCAGCAGAAAATGGAAGCATACACGGCTATTTAATAAATGAGACAGAAGTAGCAAAATCATTACTTTACAAAAGGCAGGATATAATGCATAATTTACGTAAAACTGACAAATCAGTGAAATTTGGAAGATGTTCTTATGACAGATACATCATCTATGGAAATGTTAAAGCTGCTCTAGTGCTTTATTTAGTGCTTGAAATTATTACAAACGTTAACATTGAATCCATTGTTGAAAAAATTGTTCTTATCATTGTTATCTCAAATAGAGTAATACAAATGTATCTTTTACATCTTTACATTGATCGGCTGTAAACTCGGGCGGGAAATCCTGGTTGTTTGTCCAGTTCTGGACTTTTCCCCGGACTGTTGCGTACACAACGATTATACACGTCTGGCTCATTCGTGTGCCAGCTGTTAGTTCATTGCCTCCCAGGCAGTTGTATTTTGGCTTCGAAGAGAAACCCCCCCCCCCCTCCCCCATAGGGAATCTGCTTCTAGGATGACCTTGAAGAGGTTTAGACAAGTCTGTACCATTGTGAGCCCAAGTCCTGATGCATAACATCACATCATGTAGTCTGGCATTTCTACATCTCACTTTATGAGAAGCCGACACTGTCCTGGGTCAAATGTCTACCACACAAGATCGCGAGGGGGTGTTTTCTGGCACTGAACACATTTAGTTTGTGCATCACTTTTTTTAATATGTGTACAGCGATCTCGGATGTGGCGAATTACTCTCTGTCTGTCTGTCTGTCTGTCTGTCTATCTGTCTGTCTGTCTGTCTGTCTGTCTCTGTCTGTCTGTCTGTCTCTCTCTCTCTCTCTCTCTCTCTCTCTCTCTCTCTCTCTCTCTCTCTCTCTCTCTCTCTGTGTGTGTGTGTCTTGTTATACCCTACCAGGACATCACACAAGTACCAGGTGATAAGCACCAGGTGACAAAAATTGCCACGATGTGGATGAGGATCACCCGTAGAGAGGTTCATAAAACCCCTTTCAGACGTTAGGCCATATTTATAGCTCTGCTATATTCAGGGACCCCGGCAAAAGCCAGGGTGGAGTTTCAAAAAACAAAAAATTCCACATGGGGACGACTAACTTACTACTGTTGGGAGAAAGTATTTATTCCGGGCAATTTTTTTCTTGCTTGAATTCATATCTGGATTAGAGGAATGTATTATATGAAAAACCATTTCTTTGGTCCCTGCTAGTTCTCTTTATCAGTTCTGCACTAGATATAATATATATATAAACACTGGAGTCAACGTGCACATTGATGATTGCACTTGCCTGTCGAGGCAATGATCTGGCTTCAATTAATGCCTAGGAGTGGCAGAAATGTATGTGAACAATACGATTCTGAGGTCAAATCAAAGTAAAAACAGGTGTACTAGATAATTTGCGGTTTTTTTTTTTTTTTTGGGGGGGGGGGGGGGGGGGGGGGGGTGGGGGGGGGAGGGAGGGGAGAAACATTTAAAAGTAGCTACCCCGCCACCAGCGTCTGTGACTAAGTCGCTGCGAGACGCTTCGTAGTGCCGGGGTGCCTGGTTTGATCTCAGCTGGAGACGATTTGTCTTGCGGTCGTTTCGACAGTGATAACAATAGCTGACCATTGTGTAGGAAATGACAAACTACTTAAAGTAGAAAAACCACAACAGCCAGAAATTGCTGGGGTTGGTTCTGTAACGCCCTGTAAAGGATTCGCAACTAATTACCCCTATGCCAAAGATGTGTCTAGGCTTAACCCCTTTGGGAGCGGGGGCAGGGGAGAAATTCACTACCCTCTAACAAGAATTCATACAAGGCCCAGTTCTGGATTTGAGCTCTTGTTCCAGCACATCCGTTTTACAGATCTGGCTTTTTTGCGTGCACACAGTTGGTTCCTCGCCTCTTAGATAGATACACTCCTACTTTAAAGAAAACACCTCTAATAAGTAGCCTTTTACGACATGCATGTTGAGTTAAAAAAGAGGGAGGGGGGGGGTAATTTATTATCTCTCCAACCCCCCCCCCCCTTCTCAAAAATGACCTTGGCTACCAAGTCAACCCAGCCTTAAATGGGTACCAGGTGCAGTCCAGGGAAGTAAAAGCGGCTGGCGTGATGCTGATCAGTCTACTAGCCAAGTACCGATTGGTCTATACCCTTTACTTACACTTATGCTGACGCCTTCTTCTTCTTCTGCGTTCGACATCAATCATGCTAAACATTGACACCGTCTTGGTCAAAAATAGAATTGTGCGTTTAAGGTCGCCACCGGTCCCACATAGCTTCTCTCGCAATGTGGATCCCCTGGGCCAGATCCACAGTCTTTGCTGGGAGAGGTTAGGGCAGTGCTGTAGTATGTGCCCAGGGGTCTGTCTTTCTGCTCCACAATCACAGGCAGCAGATTCTTTTATGCCTATCCTGTACAGGTGTGCTCGAAGACCACAGTGTCCAGTCCGAAGTCTAAAAATTGATGTTTGTTCTTTCCTGTTGAGTTTGTTTATGCTGTCACTCTCTGGTCTGTAATCTCCATTCTGCCTTCTCCACTCCCGCTTGAGAGATCGCTTTAGCGATGTTTTGGTTTCCTTGTAGCTGTGTTGTGCTGACGCCGAACAAGGTGACGTGTCCCTGTAACGGAAACTGAAAATGGAGGAAATGTGAAGTGTTAGGTTTTCTTATATTTATATGAGTCAGGAGTTTGGATGGCCAGTTCACTTCACTGTCACCTTTCCTTCCAGGGCTATTCACAGAAGATTCTAAAAGTTTTCTCTTCAATCAGCCTGTCCTTTACAGAACGTCGCTCTCTTCATAGCACACATAAAAAGCCTGTCTTTCTCAAGCCCGGTGTCCTGTCATTGCCAGTGCACCTTCCACTTTCTGTATCCACATTCGGTAGCAGTCGCCCTCTGCCTCGTTTTCCGGAAACTGCATCCTCCATCACCGTTCTCTCCAGGCCACCATCGTGCTTGACATGTCCACAATACCTCAGCTTTCAGGAGGTAAATGCCTTTTTCTGATTAGGTGGCGCTCTTCTAACTATCTTCTAGAAAGTGAATCTCAGAATGGTTACTCCAGATGAGTAGATGCCACTTGAAAGAAATAAAAAATTGCATGTTTTGGCGCCGCCACACCTCCCACTCCCTTTTTATTAAATGTTGCATAGGGCATCTGCTCTACCTTGCATATCTGGGTACGCCACTAGAACAGACTGGCAGGTTCTGCGCCAAAGAGTGATTAATTTATGCATGTCAATCAAGATGTGGAGAAGTAAACAATGCTAAGGCACGAATCAACGATTATGGTCTGAAGAGAATGGTACAGCTGGGAGTGACCAGGGGATCTGGTCTACACTCACAGGAGAGAATGGTAAAGTTAGGAGTGACCAGTGGATCTGGTCTACACTCACAGGAGAGAATGGTACAGTTAGGAGTGACCAGTGGATCTGGTCTACACTCACAGGAGAGAATGGTACAGCTAGGAGTGACCAGTGGATCTGATCTACACTCTACACTCACAGGAGAGAATGGTACAGCTAGGAGTGACCAGTGGATCTGGTCTACACTCTAAAGAGAGATTGGTACAGTAAGGCGTGACTAGGGGGTCTGGTCTACACTATACACTCAGAGAAAACGCAAGAGACACATACAATCAAACTGCTACTGACACCATCTTAATTAAAACGAACCCTTCGCTGGATGCTGAGATGTGAACGAGGCGGTAACGGGATTGCAATACTTAGCTCAATTCAAGAAATGAAAGACACAGGTGTGTAATCTAATCTTCGACTATTACATCTACATACATGAGCGCTCAGCATGTCTAAGTCCAAGTCCTTTTGAGAAAAAAAAAAAAAAAGA